AAGTTATTGGTCTACTTATTTCATTGGATTCAGTGATTATTGGAAGGGGGAAAAAAAAGAAGAAAAAAAAAGTGTACATAACTATCAATAAATAAATAAATATCATTTTCAGAAGAATCAAGCCTTGTTATTACAAATTAGGCACCTAATACTGTTGCCTCAGTCACTTGTACATTAAGAAAAACAGTAGTAGCTTATATTTTGATTATTGTAATTGGAGTATCTTGTCAAATAATGAGACATGATCCCATGAAGTATCTGAAGTGGTAATTTTGAAGGACTCGTTAAAAATACATTATAATTGTTGCGTAATTATGACTTAATCATTCAACTTTTGTTTTAAAATAGCATTCAGTATTTTGGAATAAAAGACAGGAAATAAGTCAATTCACTCACTAACTCATGAAACAAGGGTGAGGGAAGCAGAATACAATGCTTGTTCCTTATGCGTAAATAGTTTTGCATTGTTACAAAGATAGGGGAGGGACAAAGAAATATTTTAAAAGCATTTTTTGAATGGTCCCTGAGATAATTTTTTAGGATGACTTTCTTAAAGTAAAATAATAGGTAAATTATTTTAAATTTGTCACAGTAATAATGAAAACCTTTGTGTGAGTCCTCCCTCATTTATTTCAGGAACACACTCATACACAATCACACACACACCGTCACACACACACCGTCTCACACACACACCGTCACACACACACACTCACACACACACACACACACGTACATTCTATATAGGCAATTACACTTCCATACTCAGAGGAACAGAAAAAAGGTTCAAAATGCACCATCCCATATTGCTTCAGGTTCCTATACTGAGTAATTCTTAATGTTACTGTATTTTTTGTGACTATCATTTTATGTGTGATAATTTCACTGAAAATTCCATACTTAATAATGATGTGGAATGAATGGCTTTTCATTGCGTGGTGAAGGAGATTCCTTATATTCCGATTCCTCTTCTCATCTGTGAATAAATATTCAGGGTACAATATTTACATTTATTTTAAACCTGAGTACAGAATATGTTTGTTTTATTGAAACTTACATAATTTTAAAATGATATTTTTTACAGCATAATTTTCTCAATATATATATATAATCATAACGTTAAGGAAGCTTATGTACAGTTCCTTGTATAAAAACCTAAGCCATCACATGTAAAACGAAATGATCACATGCATACAATAACCAACTTGCTTGTCGTGAAACAAGCACAAGTTTCTGTTTTGTAGATCATAGATGGAAGATGTCAACTTCAGAACTGTTGACTGCACCGTGTATGATTTACATTGTACTAATGCACTTTGCATTGTTACTTCCCTTTTATCAAATGTGAAACTACCATATTGAAAGGAACTTTTCATTGCTCAATCAGTTGTGAGTATGGAAACAAAGGGTTTCATGCATTTTAGAGCATACTAACCCTTCATCTACCATACTGTTGAAGGTGAATGTGTTTGCAGTAACAGAAAAAATATCTACACCTATACAGTTTATAAATACTTACATTTACTAACGATCAGGGTAAAACAAGTTCAGGAGAAATACAAGTTGGTTATCCACTTATGCTCATGCATTCAAATTATTATAAACTTATATCTATTTGGTGCGGTGACATTGGGTTGGTTTGATATTTATCCCTTCCAATTCACAGTTTGCACCACACACATTTTTTAAAGCTTGTACCAGTACATTTGATATTTTCTATCAACAATTAATTTCAACAACTAAATTTAATGCAAAATACCGTTTGGCATGTAAAAATCTCTGCTGGTTTCAGATGAGTGTTGCATCTATTATCCTGACTCTTTTTAAACTATAATCATTTTTTATTTTAGGAATAATAGTTTTGACTACTAACAGAAGTAACCACTAAAATTTGCAAATTACTACAGTACATTTTTTAACTATTTCAGAATTATTTTCTTCAAGATTAATGTACTCTTCTATTAATACAAACCAGTAGAGTATTCACATGCTGAAATCATGATTGTGTGTAAGCAACAAATTAATTTATTCAACAGTAAATTTCACAGTAATTGCACTCCAGGATGTGGGTTCTTCAACTTTATACTAGTTTTACTTTTACCAGAAATGAAGATGATGATGGGTTTAGGAAAACACGCCTTTATGCATGTGCTCACTCTGATATATCCATTATGCAGAATTTTTTTTTTCATTTGAGTTACTGAACATGTTTATGTTAATTCTCTTATAGTCAATTAAGTTGTTTGTATTACATTCTGATGTATAAAGTTGCAACATAAAATTTCAATTACACTTATCAGTACTGCAGATTTAGAAACAAAGTCCAAGAAGTGTACTGTATATTTCTTTTAAGGCAAATTAGTGTAATTGTATATATTTGTTATTAAAAAGCTACTGACTGCGTATGATGAAACAGAAAATTTGAAAATATATTTCACAATTTATGGTTGATTATTTGTTAAAAACAGTTTATGTTATTTGTCATATTGGAATGCCTTGTCAGTAGGAATTGGAATATTGTCCTTGGTAATTTTTTCGTGGTAAAATAAAACATGCATGATATTGATGAGTACAACCATACTGCCAGAGAGTTTTATGTTAGTTATTTACTGTGGATATATTTCTTTAGAATATATTGTTTTAATAGCTATTTGCTTTTCTTTTGTATAAAATAATGATAGATGCCCTACATAGTCATAATTTATTTATTTAACGTCCTATAATTTACTGCTCATTTCAATACCTATTTGTCATCATTTAATATAAACATACTGCTTGCAAACCATGCTAACTGGAACGTCAATTATGTTATTTCTCATCGAAACAAAATCAATTTGGTATAAATGAAGTAAGTGTATTAAGGACAATTGATTGCTATTTTTGTTAAAATATAGAACAGAATATTATCTTTTGCCATAAACACTATAACATATCCTTAAAGTATTGAATAATAAAATTGTAACAAAAATACTGAATACTTGTAGGTTTGTTCTTGTACTTTAAACAAAGAGTTTACTAGAAACAGGATAGGACAGAGTACATTTGAAAATGACAGCAGGGCAATCACATAATGTATTAAGGAAGTTACAAGTAACATTCAAATATGTTTAATTAACCCAAAATAATTTGAAGAAACATAAAAAAACTTGGAAAAACAATCTGACTAACAGAATTTGTAGAAATTAATTTATGAACAATAAAAGTTGACACAACTGAAAACACACCTGGTTTTTACAAATAAGAACATCAAGTTTTATAGATGAAAGGAAAGCAATTGTGCTTATTTCATACAGTTAGAGTAAAGTGTTCTGTTTTGATATGGTCTGATAGCTATAATACTCTAAAAATAAGATTAATTTAAATTTACTTCAAAAAATTTGGAGAATGGAAGACATGGTAGTTCATTTATTTTATTTGATGATACAACAAAACATTATTACATAAAATCATTAATATCACTAAATAAAAGATAACCATGCAATTCTTAAAGCTTAAAGAAATTTTAAATTTAAGGACTCATAATTTCATTGTTATGCAATATTGTTAAAAAATTACATAATTGTATTTACAAAGAGATATGTTTTTAAAACTTGATGCACTCATTCAGAATTGACACAAATGATCATTTATAGGTATTCAAAGTTACTCACGTATCAATGAGGAAGAATGCAAAAGGAACAAAAAAAGAAATAGTAAACAACTAAATAAATAATGGTTCATCACATCAAAGCATTTCTTTAACATTGTAATAATAATTAACGTTCCAATAAATTCTGAGCACAGTTGAAGATATATGATCTATGAAAATATAAATAAATTATCATTCTAATGAATGATTTGATTTATCCAAAACTAGATTTACTGATACAAGCCCATTTTATTGAGTTTACTTTGAAAGACCCAGTTTAAAGACACCAAGTTTATGGTATGTGCTTGCAATTCAGTGGTAAACAAATACCTTGAAAAGGAAAAGCGACTTGGTATTCTATAAATTCGTAAGGCTTCTGGGTTCCTCATCACAAATGGGCTTCTATTAGTTTCTAATATCAACTATAGAATTGACACATCCTCATTGTATCAAAATAGCAACGCCCTACATTCCTCTCAATTTTTTCTTCATAAATTGTGGCCAATAATTTTCTATGCAAGCAAGTGCATTTCATCTAAAGTCTACCATTATGGTGTGATTTTTATGAAAATGTATAAATCTTTATTCTAAAAAGATTTATTTGTAAGTCCTTTGAATGTAGAGTCATACTTTAATAAGTTGTTTTCAAAGATGAAAAAGTATGAGAATTATATGTATATATATATTTGTTCTTATTTATTATTATAAAAGTAATTTTGCTGTGCTAAGTAGCATTTTTTATTGAGTATAATTCCTAGTTTTGTAAAGTATCTTTATATATTTATATCATCATCATATATTATTATTGTAAGCGTCATTTTGTGCCCTATATTTTGATCCTTGCTATGTGGCAAAAATACCTATCTACATTTGAACAAAGCTGTGATTTTCGTATCATGTATCTTGTATATATTTTATCTCATCTAGTCTAATGTACTGACCCTATGTCACATGATCTTAATAAATTAAAGGGCCATTCAAAATATTTCGTGTAAATTTAAAATGCGTTCTTCATATTTTTTACTACTACTGAATTTAAAACAATAGATTTTGAAAAATTTTCTTTTTAGTGCCGTCTCTGGAGTTTTTTCATCACATGGTAGCTTAAAAGTGATAAATTTTGAAGTAAGTAGCCTTCTCCTGGCTCTTTCTTTCTCAGTCATTTATACATTCACTGATACTATCAATATCTTCCATTCATTCAACTTGCAAGGAAATAAGCAATCATAACATCAACAATATATAGTAACAATAATTATAAATTAACAATATTTCAAATCACATATGATTGACAGTAACACCTGTGTGATGGAGATAATAATTGAAATTTTTGTCTTTTGGAAAATTGCACATTAAATTTCTGATCAATATTCACATACATGAAGCAAAAAATATAGGGCTTATTACTGTGAGAGAATTCATTTGCAATAAGTTTGGTATAGTTGAAGTACATATACTACATTCAGTTGCAATACTTGGATACATGAATGAAAAATTGTATACATTATTACAAAGATCATTCATAGTTTAATGTGAAATATAGAACAACACTAAATGCATTAACATGACACTCCATCACACAGTTCCTTCAAAGAATTATGTTAATAACATAGGAAGTTACATAAAAATGAGTATGTAATTATATGTAAATACTTCAATATTTTAAGAAAGAGGTGCAAATATTTAACAGGATATTGGAATAGGTATTTGTAAAACTTTTGTATTCAGAAGTAATACAATGTCTTTTCGGTCTACATTAAAATTTATCATGAATTTTAATATTCTGCTGGTCCATTAAAAGCACAACCACTTTGCTTTATAATCACACCTCACTACAACATACTAAATCAGCAATCATATCACATGTATAAACTTCTGATAGTCCTTTGAAAAGGAATTGTTTGCGTATATGGGAAAATAATACACTAATGAAATTTAATTTCACCGTGAACACAAATAATGAGCAAATAGAAGGGAAACAAGGAAGATACAATTCTCATCTCAAATTGCTGAGTTTGGCATCAATTCCTTTAAAAATATTTTAGGTGAGGCTGTACATTTCACATCCTCTCCCAAGTCAGCTTTCCAATCATTAGTCGAGTTCTCTAAGTAAACCATTTTGTTTTAGAGGTATCAGGGATTGAAAAAAACAACAAACAAAAAAAAAAAAATCCAGCTCTCATACCAGCTGCTTGTAAGTGGTGACATAAGAGGTGAATGACACCAAAAGAAACTAAATACAAAGCTTAAAATGGAAATGTAATGGTGACAATACTTTGAAGTTTTTATAGTGAAAATTTATGTCAACATACAAAGAGAGTAGAAACAGTAGGATCTACCAGTGGCCATTTGAAATTTAACTATCCCTTAGAAAAAATACTTTAAGTGATTTTCAAATATTATGATGGAATATAAATGGAATAAAAATAGAGTTTCTTCCTATCTGCCAAAGTTAAATCCAATAGGTACACAGGCATGTAATAGAATAGCTGGCTTCAGTGAAAAGTGTTCATTGTTAATGGACTGTAAAGTGTTTTTAAGCCAAAAGATCACTTCACTGAAAAAAACTGACCATGCAAGTCCATATTGGAGACAAACTGGGCTCTGATTTTTCTTCAGTTGCGTAGAAATGCTTTGTACACTTTAAAAGAAAAAGAAACTCCATAAAGTTGTACAAATGTACACTGTAACAAGTAAATCATATGAGGAAATATAATTCAAGAATTTTGTTTTAGAAATTCGTTGTTTAAGAAATGACAAACTAAACAAGATATTGATTATGAAGATACTACATATATTCTATAAACTCTTATTCCTTGTGTCTTAAAAACTTCATCCTTTTAAATAAGTTCTTCATTTTAACATATACGCATAATTAAAGAATAGAGTTAAGTCTTCCTACTCACAACTTTGGTCTGCAGTTGTGTTATAGATGGAACACAGCAGACACTACAGGAGATTTATTCACATAGTCTGAAAAGAAAATAATATATTAAACAAACAGACAAATAATGAGTAAGAATATTAAACAAAATAAATAATTTAATTTAGACTGTTATTCATAAAATATTATCGAGTCTACATCATTATACTGACTGAAATCGCTCAGGGCAACTATTGCCTCTGCACACTCTGCCTGAGAGACCCTAGAGTTTGAGTCCCAATGGTGGCAGACTTTTCTACACTAGCTAAATATAGCTAGAGTGCATTCAGCCGCTGTGTGGAGGAGAAAACCAGTGGCCTGCTACTTTGATTGGTAGTTTTCCAAGGTTTCTTCAGTTAATACTGGTGAATGCCAGAACATTAGCCTAACAAATGGGTTGGCTAGTGAAAAGTGTTCAATGTTAATGAATGGTATAAAGTGTTTTAGTCAAAATATAACTTTACTGACTGAGATAAGCGATCTTGCTAGTCCATATTAGAGAAAAAAACTGGACTCTGATTTTTTTTCTTTCAGTTGCTTACAAATGTTTTTTACACTTTAAAAGAAAATGAATTGTACAATTGTACATAGTAACAGCCGAGCGCGATCTTCCTTTCTCATCCGTGAAATATTGGGAGAGGTATGAGGCGCTTAGAGTTTGGTCCGGCTGGGGCGGTACTACGCTGGTTGGAGATACGTGGGGAAATCTCCCGCAACCCGACATGTAGATCGAAGACGGGGTTTAACCACAGATTTGTATTAGTAGTATATTACCTACATGTCTGGGTAGGTATATTGACAGATTTAAATACAATGATTTGAGTCAGATCTTCATGGAGGTCGGTGCCAGATTTCACCACCCAACAAGGAGGAATACTGTCACATACAGGTGTGTAACATTCACCACACTAATGGGTGTAATGACCACAGCAGTTGACGTGTCCGGAAATATCAATGAATGTACACGTAGGCTTCCGCGGCTCGAGTCCATTACTTCTAGGCTGTCCGGGTGACGCCGCGTCGTTGGCAGATAGGCCGACGTTTCGCCTGTCATGTCGCAGGCTTCTGCAGAGTAGTGACACAGTAAAAAGATATAACACCGGAGGCGGAGCTTTACTGTGTCACTACCCTGAAGAAGCCTGCGACATGGCAGGCGAAACGTCGGCCTATCTGCCAACGACGCGGCGTCACCCGGACAACATAGAAGTAATATCAATGAATGAACTAAATTATAGAGATTGATAAGTGATCCCGGGCGCGTCAACTGCTGTAATTAGTCCCTTTTTATTGCGGGGTGAGAGTGATCTTCCCTCGCCGGCTGCCGAGATCCGGCGGCGATGTGAGCTTTCGCCTGATTGCGGAGATTTTCCCCAACCACGTATCTTCCACCAGCGGGACACCGCCTCAGCCAGGACAAGCTCCAAGCTTCCGACAAGCGTGATCGTGTGGTACTTCTGAGTGTGTGTGTGTGTGTGTGTGTGCAACTAATGTTTGAGGATAGGGCAATAAAGAGGAAGGAAAGATAGTGGCCCGTTTGACAGGGTACTGCTCCGGGATTCGCCCGCTGTTGATCAGAGAAATCACGGAAAACTACCGACCAGAGCACCAGGCCGCTAGAACTCTCCTCCGCTGGACTCGACCTAGCTATCTATCTAACTATAATAGGTCGAAAACCCTATCACCATGGGGACTAGAGGGTTATCATGTGACTAATCATGAGGGCAATTGCGATGGACGTATTGGGCAAGTGTGAAAGTTTATTGTCGTATGCGCTCGATTGCTTCATTTGGAATTAAGTCTGGCGTGGCAAGTGATGGATTTAATCACATATTTATATTAGTAGTATATCTGTATATTGTTCGATTTATTTATAGTGACTTGAGGTGGATAATCACCTGTGGTTATTCCATCGGGAGCTTCAAGGCACATCCTTTCTTACCTGTTTCTAAATTTGCAATTTTCGGAAATTCAGGGTTAATCGAAAATTTTAATCCCGATTGCATCGCTCATCGCTACTGCCGGGCGCGCTCACCTTCAACGTCGTTCACCGGAACCGCGCAGTCCACGGACGTTGCAGTAAACTTCATACGTCCTCGCCGCCCATGGGGATGACGTCGGGCTTGAGGAGGTCCATCTTGTGGATGTCGACGACGGTGGCGCCGTCGGCGGTGGAGGAGACGAGGCGCGCGGGCGGCGGGGGCGCGTCGGCGCCGCTGGGGCCGGCGACGGGGCCCAGGCGCTCGGACGACGCCGCGGGGCTGATGGGCGTGACCACGATGGCGGTGGCGGCGGCGGCGGCGCGTAGCAGCGCCGTGTCCTCCCCGGCGTCCTCGCACCCGTCCCACGTGCCCACCTCCTCCTCCTCCTCCTCCTCGTCCTCGTCCATGTCCACCACGTCCTCGTCGTCCACGCCCAGCGCCCGCCGCGCCGCCTCGTCGTCCTCATCCTCGTCCTCGTCGTCGTCCTCCTCGAGGTCGGGCGCGTCGGACGAGGAGGAGGCCCGGGCGGCCGCGGCGAGAGGGGAGCAGGGCCTCGCCGCCCCCGGTGACGCCGGGTGGCGCGGGGGCGAGCGCGCCGCCACGGGACCTGCGCCACGCCGCCTGTGCGCACGCCGTTCCGCCCCGCCACGCCGCGCCACGCCACGCCACGCCCCGCCCCTCTCCGTCGGGGACCGGACTTTAAAGAGGCTTTAGGCTCCTTAGCGCTTAACAATGTTTCTCCAATACCTATTTACCGCCTGCGCTAAAATCTAGTTCGTAACTCTCGCGGGCGCTCCTTGCGTCGGCGCCGAAAACTACTGTACCTGACCTTAACCTAATAAGGAAATATTTAAAAAAAATGTATTTTATTAAAACAAAAGCAATACAATTATTACATATCGAAAAATATACTTGATCCACTTTGTCGTTGTCTATAAAGTTGAATTTTTCCTTACCCAGTTCACAATAATCAGCGGCCGCCTATTAACTACTATTGTCATTATCTCAGATAATATGTTTTTAAAACGAAAATTATAGTTATGGAAATTTACACAAAGCAGATAAAACGTATTACGATACTCGAATCGTAACATCTCATTACAATGGCTTAATGGGCTATTATAATTCGTTAATATCATACTGTTATAAGATGCTTTACAATACATATTTCGTGTATAACTAACTGGAGAAATGTAACTTACTAGGTTCTTCGTCGCTCGTGCGTTAATACTTTCCTCTTGGAAAAGAAGTACCTCTTTATCTCCAGTATAATTAAATACTATACATTTCTTTTTTCACTCAACATGGAACATTAACTTTTTAACCTCGTTGAAATTTCTTTTTTCCAGCAAAATTTATTTAGTTAAAACAAATTTTGATATTTCAACAGAATTGCATTTTTTGCTACAAGAAGTCTTCTTCTTTGGAAAAATGTCCTTGGAAAATCACGTGCCTTTTGCATTGTGATCACATTTTTATCATTTTTGTCCTTTTTTACAGATATAATTATTTTTCTTTAAAATTCGGCCTCAACATGCTTAGCCAGCAGTTTAAATAACTAAGGTGTGCAAGGTACATTGTGTTCCTTTCGCGTGCCTAGACATTCTTTATATTTATTATGTACTTGAAACAATTGTAATCATTTTCTGAAAACTGTGCCTGACAAGAAATATCCACTAGCAGTACAAATAATTGATCTGTTTGCACCTGGTTTTCAAGCATTGTCTAAGGAAAATTTGATCTTTGTATATTAATTTAAAAAATTCTTAAAATAGAACTTAGTTTCTAAGTAAGCTGGAATTCAAAACACTTTTAACGATCTAAATTAGAAACCAAAATCAACAATTTTCTGAATCTTCAATCCATCAATCGTTTAAGTCATTTTCTTAATAGTTAATCTTTCAAAAGAATAAAAATAAAATATTAACTTCATTATTTTGTTACCGACAGCTGTCTGCAACGGTGAACCATTTGTCTCAATTGTACAAAGATCTTTCACAATGTGAATGTGACATGGCTCCACACGGAAGTGAAATGGTACCAACGCCCGTTTTTGGAAGGTAGTATATGAGTTTGAAAAACAAATCTTTGAAAGACAGTGTTAATTTTTATAGACTTCTTTTAATTTGTTTCTTACAATGTTTGTGAAGAAACTTATTTCTAAAAGTGAAATTACTTGGTTACGTAAATACATTTCATTTTGGCATTTCGCTGATCTATAAATAACTGTTTAGATAAATAGAAAGGAATAAGTATTTTTAAATACACATATTCCAAATTATTGAGAGAATATCACATTCAACTGGATGAGATGGACACTTTTAATGAACACAGTAAATATTTCGTTTTGTGGTTCAGAGTTTTGACATCTACCTACGATTTCTTTAGTCAGAGATTTATGTAGTATTTTCTAAAAAAAATCATAAATTGTATTTTTAAATTCATTTTGTAAGGAGGTATGCCTTGTATTTGTCAGATATTTATGTAATATTTTCAAAAAAAAATCATTAATTGCTTTTTTAAAATTCATTTTGTACGAAAGTATATACTGCCTTTGTCACTGAGAAGTGCCAACACTGTGCACTGTGTGAACATATGCAAACAGTTATGTGTAAGTGCATTTTGAGTTCACTCAATGTGCTGACTCTTTTGGTGAAGCAATAACGTGCTTACAGAAACAATGTTGAAAAGACATTCCGATCTGTCCAAATTGATTTGCATTGGGCTCTATCTGCATGAATATTTCTTAAAATTCGACAGTACGTATATCGCCAAGAAGCTTGACTATGATTTACCATTGTAAATTATTGAGTTATTACTCAATACTGGGCATAAGAGTTTTTTAGTAGACTAACATTTTTAAATGTATAAAATTCATACATATTTGTGACAGGTTAAAACATAAAACATTTTACGTCAGGTTAAAATGGTAAACATAGCGAAAGCAAAATGTTTATTTAACTTTCTTAGTCGATTAAAAATGTCAAATAATTAAGAGTAAAACTCCGCAAAATGGGTGGCCTTCGAGTAAATGAATAAGTATTAGATTTCATTATTTGTTTAAAACACACATTTTTTTACATCCCGATGTACATGTATTCGCTTACCTATTCATTAAATTCCGAACGAAGCACAGCTACAAATACACATCGTAACCACAGAACGAACTAACACACAACTAAATAAACATTTAATAATGAAAAGAACACGTTTTACAGACACCAGCAAGACATCAGAGCAATATCCAGGAATGCAAAAAAGATCATCTAAAAGACCACATAAAGAAAGTCACATTTTTGAGCAAAGACCATTCAACCATGCGTGACTGATGCTTGGAATTCCATATAAAACAATATAAACTAACATGCACGGATTAGACGAAAATTTTGATCTAAAACAAGCATAAACACAATCAAGGCATCAATTGATCAAACGAAAAATCTTCTTTTCAAAAAATTGGAAAATTATGAGATAAGAATTAAACATTTATATTTTCCTGTACGTTACATGCAAGCCTCTGCATTTAGCTTAAGGAAATTCTATAATCCGATTTATGGTTCTGCCAAAAGGGCTCATTCCTACTTGCAAATTGCAAAGTTGAAATATCTTAATGGAACGTGAGTTTATATCAAAGTTTACGGGCGCGCTTAATCTTTCTTCAATAATGATTGAGAATTCAAAAAAGCAAAATTTACATACGCGGAAGATAGACGCGTATCTAATGAGATTGAAACTTACATTGTGTACTTGAATTTACCTTCACACTCTTCTCACACTACATATTAATAAAAAAACTAACATAAAAAGGGGATTCATACACTCGGGATCATTGTAACAGGACAGAAACAGCCGTACACTAGCACTCGGGGGAGTACGCGAATACAGGGTGAAGAAGACGCACAACACACGTAATGGCTTCCAAACTAGAACACATTTGACATCCAACACAGATCCACACAGTCGTAAATCGAATTACTTTTTCTGTAACATAAATACGTATTTGCATGGAAATGCACCATTCCAGTTACAATTAACCTACGGAAATCAGTACAGTGGGGCAGGTATAGACTACATCAATATTTTATATCTTAAGGCTATTGGCTGCATGAATATCGAATTTCTAATTAGCAGATTCATACATAAGCAGCTATATAAAGTTGACGACCAGAGCAACACTTCAGCAAAAGGCATGCTCAATTTTGCATGGAGAGATAAAAAAAAATTATGTCACTTGCGGGCTTCCAAGAAAACGCAGTTTCGCGGGACCGTGAAGATAAGAATTTGCAACGAACAAATCAGAAATATATTGAAGCCAGAGCCATAAGGTGCCATTTCGTTGGTTGAGTAGTACACTGCAACCTTGCAGACATTTCATTTCCGAAAGCTCGACCACGGCAAACAGTGCATTCTTCCCGTGTTTTCACCGGATTAGAACAGCACTCATTTCCCCGGCAGTGCGGTAAAAAAAATGACGGACTCATGTATTATATAAATGAAGATGAGAAAAAAAAACAAGCGGCAAGTACACGCCAAAACGACGGAAAGATAAAATCCATAACAACTCGCAATAAAAGAACCACATGCTCAGGACAGTGGCCGTGACTACTTACGAAAGTTTTCGCGCATGCGCCTCAAGGAGACGCAGGGCCGGCGGCGCGCGGCGCAGAGGGCGGGCGCGGGGCGGCCGCAGGCCTCCGCTACATCAAAGGTGAAAAGCCCCGTTCATTACACAACCACCACACAGAGTCCGCGGGGCTCCAGTGTCCTCACACGTCATCGGATGACACTTGACTAAAATGGCGGCTTGACACGAACAGTTCGGTGAGTGAAACAATTTAATAACAGAAGAGTATTATGGTCCGTAAAGAAATAATAATTATAATAATCATGAATTCCAATCAAAACACATGTATTTTAGTAAGGTAGCAAAATCTGCACTTTAATGTTAAGATTTGATTTATTAATGGATATTAGAATTTTAAAATTCCTTCTCTCTCAGGGTTCCTCTGCTTGCGCAGTCCAAGAGTTCTTGTTGGCTGTATTGCCGGGAGATGCGAAACTACGTTTCTTGCATCCCGTGCGTAGCTACAGAGCGTCCTTTATCAAGAAAACTAAGGTTAAGGAAACAACGTTCCCACTTTATCCAGACCGGCTCTGTGGTCTTTTTAAGGTCTGCTTACGCGATTTCTTTTCACCCAGTTTGATCTGTATAGAAAATATTTATTTCTGACTAGATGTGGTTTGTAAAGAAACAATGCCGCATTTTGTGGAAAAAACTTCCATTCAGTTTTACCTCAATACGCCTGGTGTTATTTGCTGGAATTTTTATCTATAACATTGCCGACTTTTGGTTAGAATATTTGAAGTTAGATATTTTCATGTATTCGACCAGTTATTTGTGTTTTTTGGTAAATTTATCTCTCAAAATCACGGTAAGTGCGGTAAGTTAATTAAAAGCACATATGCAGAAAACTGTCGTCGTACGAACGAACGTACGAAGCCGTAACCCTTAGAACCGAAAGTGAATTTTTTATTGCAGTAGCTATATTTGTCTAAATTGCTACAATTGGAGTTCTTACACCTACATAAGGTTGTCGCTTCTTCT